TGAGATTGCTGAGTGTTTTTTCTAAATTACTTATCTTCGTGGGATAGGTCATTCTAACCTTAGCTAAATTCTTATGCTCTGGAGTGACAGTTTGACGATTCCCGACCTACTAGTTTGATCTATGCAGTTGACCTCAGTCACAGCCATTGCAAGGTGTTTTGTATATTATATTACTCTGTCTAATTGGGTCAACCTAAAGGGTCCTTTAGCCTACAGAGCTTCTCCAACCTGAGTGAGTTTGTAGGTTTAAATGCCACCCTAATTTCTGCTTTATTAAGAATCCTACGTAGGGACTGTCTCAGATGTCCCCTCCTTATGTGGTAGAACTGTAGATGCCTTATATTCTCTCTTACTTATGTTATCATTACTAGTTTCCCCATTATTTTTATTTTGCTTTGGACCCTTTCTGATCTTCCTAATGAATACTATAGGGTAGTGAGTTATTTAACACCAACCAGCTATTCTTCTATCTGTTTTATTTCATCATTTAGGTTAGATTAGTTAGGTTACATTGCTGAATCCTTGTTCATCGAGTCTACACCCAACATATACAATAGGATCCAATGACTCATCAGTCATACTGGAAATATACTCAAAATAACACTACCAATCAAGTCAAGCGATGAAAAATAATGATGGAATTATATAAACGAAGTTAGAAAGTTGTGCGAGTAGTGAATGCCTTGATATGATTATGAGCAGTTGTAATAAATTGTGCTCGAAACGTGTGGTCATCAGTAAATGCTACTTACTGTATAACAGATACTGGGAGACTTTATCAAAATAAACTTTACCCTTAATGGAATTATACTCCTCTACCACCATAGTGCACAAGTTCTCTCTCTCTGGATTCAACATAGAACTTGACACCGAAGTGCAGCAGTTCGAGTCGCCACGTTCCAAAGAGCACACAAGGGTAGACAAGAAAGTGAGTGAAGAGGATCAATGGAGTTTTGACAAGTATAAGAGTGAAACAGAATGAGTAATGGTAGAAAGGAATATGAAAGATTACAGAGACTGAATACATCTGCGTAAGCCATTGACAACGATTTTGAGCCATGTCACCTAGTGTCTCCAGCCATTGGTTCTTAGAGTCCCGAGGGCCCCAACCCGGAAGTCTGCATCTCCCTACCTGACTCAGTTTAACTGTCAGGGATTTCATGGATTGATTGATGCGATGTTTTTGTTTGGCCACCACTTACTCTTTTCCAACCTGCACCTATATCAGCTAGTAATGCCCGTCGGGCTGGGGAAGGCGATGGTTAGGCATGCGCACCATGTCACCTAGCCATCTCAATCTATGTAACTTTAAAGCCTCGTTGATTGATTTTCCCTCTTTGCCCAACACTCTACGCCTGACGTCAACATTACTTACCTTATTATACCACCCAATGTGTGGAAGAGATCGTAGACATCTATGATCAAAAACAGTCAACCTTTCCATGTCTTCAACTGGTATTGGCCATGTTTCAGAGCCATAGAGAAGGACGGAGCGAACTGCTGAGCAGTACACACGTCCCTTGGTTGACAGCCCAATATCACGACTAGGCGAGAGACGGTGTGAGTTAGCGAAAGCAGCCCGAGCTTTTTGGATCCGTGCTGAGATTTCGTCACCAATCAATCCGTTGGTGCTGATACAACTTCCCAAATAGGTGAAGTGGTCAACATGTTCTATCACTTCACTCACTCCCTATCACTAAGCTAGGAGTTGACGTAGTCCAGTCCTGTAGCAGCATCTTACATTTCACAGGGGCGAATCGCATGCCAAACATACGAAGATTGCTGCTCAGGGTGTTCAGAAGACTCTGCATTTTGTCAGCATCCTCCCCTAACAGGCCTATGTCATCTGCATATTCTGAGTCCGTAAGACTATTCCCTGGTAACAAGTTGATTCCTAAGTCGTTAAGTTCAGTTAAGGGTACTTCCATTAGCATATCTATGATGAAGTTAAACAGAAAAGGGGAAAGTGGACATCCTTGACGGACACCACTGGTTGTTATCAGTTCAGATGACAATTCCCCATAAGCCCTTACACAGCTACGTGAGTTTGAGTAGAGTGCCTTGATTAGTGCAATGTACTTTCTTGGCACTCCCTTCATAGTCAAACATTTCCATAGTACCTCTCGATCCACGGAGTCGAAGGCCGCCTTCAAGTCAAGAAATATGGCAATTGTTGGACGCCTAAAAGTGTGTCTATGTTCTAGGATCTGTCGGAGATTGAAGATATGATCTATGCACCCTCTAATTGGCCTAAAGCCTGCTTGATTTTCCCTCGTTTGTTCCTCCCGAGTTCGGCTTAGTCTGTGCATGATTACTGAGCCTAGAATTTTAGAGACTATGTTCGTCAGGCTGATCCCTCTATGATTATCACATGAGGACTTGTCTCCCTTCTTGAATATTGGTATAATAAGTGACTTACCCCAGTCTGATGGATTTGAGAGATTACGATTGTCAGTCATATCAGCAGTAGTCTGAAGCCATTAGTGCTTAGCATCTCAAGGACTGCAGACCAGAAGTTCACACCCTTTCGACAGACGGCATGGGTAGAGATGTCGAAACCAGCCACAGTCAAGTAGGCAAGACAGACCCCTTCATCACTAATGAAATCAGTGTAGAGATAAATCTTCTGCACTTAGAATAAAGAATGAAATTAGAATTTTCAACATACAGAAACTTAGCGTGTCAGTAAGACCATTTCAAACAGTTCGCGGACTTTTATCAACAGTTGCCTTCACTGACTGGATACTGAAAATCGGTTGACCAAGAAGGATCACCAATAAAAATCCTCCAGAAACAAGCCAACCAACGACCTATAGTCTGAAAAATATTCCAAAGGAAGTGTAGATATATCGGACATACACCGAGTAGACCGCTAAGTAACATCGCACTCAGTGTACGCCATCGCTGGAGTGAAAGGTAAATAGGAAACCATCAGTTGGGCGTTGATCCGAAGGTAACACGGAGGAGATCGTGCGAGTTGGAGGAGATGGAAACTTATGGGTAATCGCGGGGTCAGCTAAACACGATTGCAGAGAACAGGAAAAAATAGCGATGTCTTGCTGAAGCCCTATGTTCCAGGTGGAACCCAAGGGGATAATAACAATACGTGGCTTAGATTTCATGTTTTGTTGCTGTGTACTGGGTTGACCACCCCTTACTCTTTTGAAGCCCAGTCCTGTACTGCTCGCTTTGAACTAATTATTACCAGTAATACCACTATTATATACACTATTATTAATAACATGGTGATGAAATATTAGACAGTTGGAGGCAGTCAGCCACAAGAAACCTTGGCTGCAACTAGGCTTCGTGCTAGTTGGTACTCACCAGTCAGAAAGGCGTATCTGAAACCTTGAAGAGACTCATGTCGCTTCTGAGATTCAAACCAATAGTCACCCAGTGAGCGCTGCAGTCAGAGACGCTACCACTGAAGAGCTATTCGGGTTGGCTCGCAATTGACTTCCTGTAGGACTGTAGTGGATATTTTGATTGAACACCAGTCAGTGACTAGTGTAATGTGTCTAGCACTGTCTTTGGTGCAGACTGAATTCTATCAGACAGGTTAGCAATGTGGCCAGTTCGCTGGCTATGTGGCTCGTGAACACGGTGTACTGTGAACTGCAGATACTACTTTGCTGTATATTATTATCATCATCCAATAAACCGACTGATATGCAATGTTCCGTAATTCTCTTAGGTTCCGATTCGAACATAAGGCTTTAAGCCTGTTGAAGTTGCACTAGCGGTAGGAATGCTCAACTCACTCTTGACCTTCTCTTCTTAAGGGGTTTAAAGCTAGCCAGTTAGATAGGTGAGGTATAAGAGCGCGCGTCCGCCGACTGGAAATCAGGCCGACTAGTGAGCAATCTACCAGCGACTCATAACACAGAGAATATGGACACTAATGCACATAGATAACAGTTCCATAGTAAGTGAATAAAGTTTATCTATCCCAACACACATTTGAAAAGAAATAACGCCATATTTGACTACTGATGCCTTCATCAGTAAACTCTGGTATAAACTCAGCAGTAAAGACTGTGTCAACTGAGGTACAATTCACAACATGAAAATTATACACAGTTCCAATTGATAAATCGTCGTAGTTTCCTTAGTAAAACCAAGAAGTACCCAGATCACAACATACGTGATCAGCCTGAATCGATAAATGGCGACCAAGAAAGCAACCATTTCAGTACGATGGTGGTATGCACTTGTGACGGATGTGAGCAGTTGAAAGGACGTTATTGATCCAATCGTTAACAAAAATTACAAAATAAATCTGAAGAAATTCTTATACATTAGTCATTCCCCGTGTTCTAGGCGGAGAATAGGAACTCTGCGGAGCATCCACATTTTAATCAGTCTTCTGTTATGACTTTCTCCTGGCTCCAAGACTTCGATTTACCCCCTACATGATCTCCCCCATGTCTCCCTTTAGATGCGGGCCTAACTCATTGATTCCTATCGGGGTCATACTCGAAGGCCTGGTGTTTAAGACCATTGGAGGTTTCTTTAGCCTATGTTAAGTTCATCTCCATTTGCGCTCCCAAAACTAGGAAATGTGGAAGAATTGGAGTGGGGTTTTCTGTCACACCCTGTAAGAAACATCTCTATCGCTATGGAATCCCCCAGAACACGAAAAAATGAACTTATTCTTCGCTGGAGTTCCGAAAACTTCTCAAATCGAGAGTGAGTAGTAATACTGTCTTGTGAAAGTCGTAGGAAAGCCAGTAGGTGCAAAAGTCTTTTTCTATGACAGTAAAAGGAAGCTCAAGGGCATAAAATGTCCACATCATTTATGTGGCTGGAAAGGCTGTTCAGACTGCAGTAATTCACAAACTGCGCAAATTTGAAGTTGGTAGCTATGGTTTCATTGAAACCTCTAAGAATACCAGTATACAAAATACTTCTACAAGGGAAATATTCGACCTAACACATTCTCACAAACATATTGATAAAAGAACCACTAAAATAAGAAATTCAAATATAAAACTAACCTGAATTAAAGAGAATTAATGCTTTTAAACAAACATATTCTGACTGATCAAGGTTCAACTGTTGTAAGTGTTCCAATTGATCTTGAAATATTCTTGAATATCGTTGATGCGATCTTAATGAATCTGGTTTATCCGTTAAATATTCCAATGTTGATGCAAAAGTTTCCTTATACTGACCTTGTTTAAATTCGCCTGCTTCTTCAGATGGCGAATTTTGTTTTAGTGATGCAATTTTCATTGAACTATTGAACCAGGTTTTATTGATCGGTGAATTGTTTTTATTATTATTACTACCGTTATGTAATGCGGTAACAGCAGAAGTATTACACGTTTGAACTAGATAAAGTATGAATAATTCTGCCCATGAATTTATGAGTAGTATTAACTGATCACTTGGCTGAAGAGAAAGAGAAAAAAAGGAAAAAGAAAATGATCATAATAATATGGATTATGAGTTTTTGTCGAGACCTGGATCAATTTCAATGTGGATTTCGTCTGGGATCGGCATCACTTACAAAATAGTTGAAAACTAGGAATTACTGGATGGCTGTTTCATCCTAATTGGGGAATGTTTAGCGGTGTGCGCCCATAAACCCATCAAAAATCCAACTCATAGCCTTCAGTTCAATTTAGATTTTCCCGTCGATTGATTCGACCTAAGTGCTCGGTCTCAGGTTGACATTTCAGCTCCTTGTGTAGATGCTTCAACGATGTCTGGTCATATAACTTGAAGTCAGTTCGTTGATGGTGACTAGTAGAGGAATTCAGGATGCGCATTTTTTCCCATTTGGAACTCATCAGCTAAATGTACCTGCTCCCTTGGCCGAAGTGGTCCAGTGGATAATGCTTTGGCGTTGGAAACTACGGCCACTGGGTTCAAGCCTCAGTGGGAACACCATCACTCAACCACTCACTAGGGAATGAAGGTACAGTCGGTTGATGAGTCTCAAATAGGACGAAACGTGTGTTGTCTTAGATTCCGCTGCTAGTCATCATCCACCGACTGAATTCAAAGCTGGACTTCCGATCATCACATCCTATGTCAGTGAAATTAAGATTGGTGAAATGTTTAAGTAACAGAGCACAAAAACTAAGTAGTAACAAGGAAAATCTAAGACAGGAAGTGATGCATATAAGAGAAGCCTTCAAACTTAATAATTACCCTGATAAATTAGTCAGGAAATATATAGGGAAATGTGAAAATTAAATAAATATTGATAGTGATAATAAAAATAGTAATGACGAAATGCAAGTCAAATGTGCGCAAGACAACACCAACAATAAGGAATCTAAATCATCAGTAGTAATTCTATACAAGGAAGGAACCTCGGAAACCACTCTACGCAGAATTCTTAACAAAGCAGGCAGAAATAAAAGTGACTGGCATTCAAACTCACAAACTCAATTAGAAACAGGCTTTGTCGGTTAAAAGATCCTGTGAAGCCTTTAAACAAGAAAATTTAGTCTATGTACTTGTGATTGGTGGCAGCGTATACAAACACAAGGATATTCACAAGGCTACATGGGTGTCACCAGATGGGCGAACCAAAAACCAAATCGACTTCATCTCAATCTCAAGGAAGTGGAGGCGCAGCCTGCTGGACACAAAAGTAAGAAGAGGAGCAGACATTGGCTCAGACCACTACCTCGTACAAGGGGCAATCCAAATCAAATTAAAAGCTTTCAGAGAAACAGGAGCTGCAGATAGACCACAAGCCAAGTTCAACACTCAAAAACTGAAGGACCAGGACACAAAGGACATCTTCACTGCAAGTATAAAAGACAAAGCCGAGACACAAATCAACACTGGCGAAGAGGTCAGCGTCGAAAAGCACTGGAACAACTTGAAAACAGTGTGAAGTCAAACCTGCATGGAAGTTCTAGGCAGAAAGAAAAGACAGGACAAACAATGGCTCACTATGGACACTTGGAAACTAATAGAAGAGAGAGGGATGGTGAAACAAAAGATTCTCCAGTGCACCGATGAGCAACAAAAACAGGATTTGAATGCAAGCTACAAGACACTGAACAAAAGAGTAAAGAAGAGTGCCAGAGAAGACAAAAGAAAGTACTATGAAACCATGGCAAGTGAGGCAGAACAAACTGCAGGCAAAGGAGACCTTGCAACACTCTACCAAACAACTAGGTACCTATCGGGCAAACGTTTGACACAGATCAAGCCGGTGAAGGCTGACAATGGAAAGTCACTCAACAAAGAAGTGGAGCAAAGGAAACACTGGGCTGAACACTTCAAAAGACTCCTAAATCGACCACCACCTACAACGCGCCCAACAATGCCAACAACGGAGACAGAGCTACCAGTGAACCAACCCCCCGACGAAATCAGAAGTCCTGAAGGCAATCAAGATGCTAAAAGCTGGAAAAGCAGCAGGACCAGATGGAATCCCAGCAGAAGCATTGAAAACAGACCCAGAGACAACAGCAGACTTGATGACGCCACTACTGGAGAAGGTGTGGAAAGAAGGCAAAGTACCCGAGGATTGGAAGAAAGGATACTTATTCAAACTACCAAAGAAAGGAGACCTAAGTCAGTGCAAGAACTGGCGCGGAATTATGCTCCTGTCCATCCCAAGTAAAATACTAAGCCGCATAATTATGGAGAGAATGAAGCATGCCTACCTGGATGAAAAACTTCGACCGGAACAGGCTGGATTCAGGAGAAACAAGTCATGCATTGATCAGATCGCCACATTACGGATCATCATTGAACAAAGCTTGGAATGGGAGTCACCTCTCTACCTCACTCAACTTCATCGACTTTGAAAAGGCCTTCACCAGACAGCGTCGATCGAGAGGTGATTTTGAAACTACTTCGCTACTACGGGGTGCCACCGACAATTATGCATCTCATCCAACAGCTGTACGACAGTGCTGCATGCCAAGTAATCCACAACGGGAAACTCACTGAATTCTTCGAAGTGAGGACAGGAGTAAGACAAGGCTGGTTGGCTGCCTACTATCGCCAATGATTTTCTTGATTGCAGTAGACTGGATAATGCGACAAACAGTGGGCAATGAGGAGACAGGCATAAAATGGACTCACACAAAATACTTGGAGGATCTGGACTTCGCCGATAACACATATATGTCTGATTTCCCACAAATTGGAAGATATGCAAGCGGAAATCAACAAGTTGGCGGAAGATGCATCAAAGATAGGATACCACTTCAGGTGAACATAGAGAAAACAGAGGTGATGAAGATTCCTGGGCAACACCACCGACAACAACAAAAGCAGACAACAATCAGCATGAATGGAAGGAATCTGAAAGAAACAACCTCCTTCACCAACCGACCTGGGAAGCATCGTTTCAACTACGGGCCGGCGGAACTGACTAGGATATAAAAGCAAGAATCGGAAAAGCAAGACAAGCTTTCACTACTCTCAAGTCTGTGTGGAGGTCAACAGCCCTACTCAGCATCAAAACGAAGATAAGATCCGGATTATCAACTCCAATGTTAAGTCAGTCAGTGCTACTATGCGGATCACAAACTTGGCCAGCGCGTCATAAAGAGCATCCCAATCAAACTACAGACCTTCATTAACAGTTGTCTTCGCTCAATACAACTCAAGATCAGATGGCCGATCAGAAAAGATCAGCAACAGAGATCTCTGGCAATGAGCGAACCAACCCAGCAGGAACCGATTGTGAAACAAATAGGCAGGAAGAAATGGAGATGGATTGGCTGGCCATACTCTGAGAAAACAAACCATCAAGCGACATCACTAGACAAGCCCTTGAGTGGAACCCGACTGAAAGGGAAGCGGCGAGTTGGTCGTCAGTTCAAGGGTGACTTGGAGGAGGTCATGTGAAGAGATGAAAACGTGTGGGCAGACTTGGAGCCAGGTGAAGACTCTAGCAGAGAACAGAACGCAAGGGAGACGTTTGGTTGAAGCCCTATGTTTCTGTAGGAATTAAAGGATACAATAATAGTAATAATAAATAATACACTGTCCACAGTGATTGTCAGGTCAAATACATAGGTCAAAGTAGTAGAACAGGGGCAATCAGACCAGCCAAGCATCAAAACCTAGATGAATCTAGATTAGTTGACACGAATAAGATAACAAATCTAGAGGATAGTTCAGGTATAGCACTACATACAATCACACACAACCATACAATAGGGTGGATGGGATAACATGGCAGTTTTAAAATCTAATGTCACAGGATATAGGGAGAGATTGATAACAGAAGCTTTGTTTATTGAATCAACTGCAAATACATTTAACAGGAATGATTCATCACCTGTCCGCCCAGATATCTGGAAAATTCTACTACCCCAACGAAGAGAAATAGGAGGGAACAAAGAAAACTATAAAACAGAAGTTTCGAAGTTCTGTGATTATAATTGATGAAATGATCATGAACAATAATGAATTGTGTTCGAAACTGTGTCATCCAGTGAATAATACTTTTTCATCACTGTGTGATACATCTAATAAACAAACTAATATGGAATATACAGAATGGAATTTTCAGCATTCTTTTTATACATATGGCAACAATTAAGCTCCTTTTATAAATGTGTATTTACATAGAATTTAAAGTAGTAATAATAATAACAATATTAATAATGAAACCACCACTATAAACAGAATGTTGGTGGAAACATAATGAGGCATAAGTAGACAGTATCATGGATAATACATGTAATAATAATAATCTTTGCTTGTGCCTTGCAGGTCATAGTTACTGATTTAGAAAGCTTATAAGTTCTTTTCTGACTTCTGACTCTCTCTCTCTTCACACAAAACCCCTGCTAAATATGGTGGCATGGTAGAAGTTTTATATCTAGTAGCTGTATGAGCGTAAATTCTTATGAAGTTTTGTTCTGACTTCACCCCGCGAAGATATACAAGAAGAAAGTTGAGAATAAAGAGGAGGATGTTCAATGGTATCAGACAAGATAACTTTAGCCAACTGCTTGCAAGAATTGAATTGCCTTTGACAGTAATGTCAGTTAGCTGAGTCGAAGGCACACGCCGCTAACCCTGACTGCTTACAGCCTTCAGTGTTCCACATAATATGACATAGTCTTTTTTGAGAATTCCAGGGAAGAATAGATGTGCGGAACAATAAAGAATAGGAGTTTGGTAGAATACATGAATTATCAAATTGTAAGAGAAGGAAGAGGTTGAGTTATGCCAGCCGAAAGTTTCAACTTCTTTATGTAATAAATCAAACGAAGGAGTTCTTTTAGAAATCAACAGGATATGAGACGACTACCAGAGGAGATTCGAGAACTATCGTCAATATTACAGGAATCATGCGACTGAATCAGTCTACGCACGCAAGTCTTGTTCGCATCTGAAACTAAAATCAACAAATAGTATGACACTTAGATGTATTTAGTTTAAGACCATTTAGATGA